CAAATAAAGTAAGGCTGAGTGTATGCTTCCCCATATCTTGTTTCCTTTTGGATAAGGAAAATGTAAGCTGAAAATTTATCTAAGACAGAAAATATCTTAAAATGGGGGACTTTTACAATCTCTTTATTCTCAACAAAATATTACATATTCATGGGTAGGTCAAAATTCTTTTTTTGGTCCAGGCATATCATGAAATATTTTCTCAAAGAAGCATCTAATTATTGAAGAGGCAAAAAGAATTAAGTTTCATTATGAAAAAAAGGAAAAGATAGGTAGATTTGTAGCTAACACTGAAAAGTCATCCATGTACACGTTTATTTTTCAAAGATGCAATGGGCAAATTAAACAAATCTTTATCGTGCATGTATAAGTAAACAAGAATCTGCGCAAAAGAAAAAAAAACTAATGATACCCCAAAAAAAGAGTATAAACTACACATACCCAGATAACAGTAGCCAACAAAGAAAGTGCGACAAATGAATAAGATATGCAGAAATGACTCACACACCAGAGAGAGAAGTAAAATAAATTTGGAAAACTTGCATACCTGTTCATCTTGGAAGATCATGTTCAAATACTTTATCTTTCTGTCTGAACTCTCTCCTGATCGACATATATCTACAACTTGCACCTTGCACGTCCAGTTTGGTGTATCAGGAGTGATTGCACATATACCAAGTCTCTCTGCCATTGTTGCCTGCAATCTGAAAAATGATTAATAATAAGTATACGATAAAATAACAAAAACAAAATACAATTAATAACTTACATAATAATATCTTTTTTCTAGCCAATCAAAAGACTTAGGAGAATGCCTTTTGATAATTTCACTATATACTACATTGTAAGTAGAATGGTCATCATGATTATCTACTATTGTTGGTCGGATTAACATCCTTACACTATCTGAGTTTGTTGCTCTTGATAAAACCACGTAAAGTTGGCCGTGTGAAAAGACAGGTTCACGCAAATAAATTCCTACGAAATCTAGTGTTTGGCCCTGAGCTTTGTTTATTGTCATTGCAAAACATAATCGAATTGGGAATTGTGTTCTCTTAAATGAAATAGGTAATTTTTCATCTTGTGAAGATAATAATGGTATTCGAGGAATGAAAACATGTTCACCTTTAAAGTCACCACTTACAATTTTAGCACTAATAACATGAGGCTTGAAATCAGTACAAATTAAGCGGGTACCGTTACATAAACCCTCGGAAGGATTTAAATTGCGCAGTAGCATAATTGGACAATTTTGCTTTAGAACTAACTTGTATGGAGGTAGACCAGCAGGATTCAAAGTATGCAAAAAATTTTCAAATTGGCTTTGATCTTTTGGCTCTATAGTTTCGTCAATTCCTATGAATGTCATAGCAGTCTTAGGAAACTGATCTATGAACATCTGACTAATTTCATTCACAAAATTATTTTCGGTTGTTAAGATAGCGCGAGATGTAACTGGGGAGGTATCATAAATGAGTGCATCTAAATTGGGATAAATACTTTTGAACAGAACATGTAATGACTCTTTCTCATTAGTAAATGGAATGAGGAAAGATTTTGGAACTTCAATTTTTCCATGTTCATTAACCTTTTCTATTCCATCTCCAATCCTTAGTAAGTACTCACAAAAGGCAGGATCTTTTCTCGCACGCATATTTTTTGATAATCGAAATTTTTTAAGGTGATTCCAAATGTCTGAATATAATAAGCTTTCACAAATGAAATCTTCTTTCGTCTCGCTTTGTACAACTGGAAAAGTCTGTCTGAAATTACCTCCGAAAACGACAACTTTACCACCAAAGAGTGTATCTTTGTCCATAATATCTCTCAAGAGTAAATCAAAAGTCTCGACAAGTTTTTTCTTTGCCATTGACACCTCATCCCATACTATTAGTTTTGCATCTCGGATTAAAGATGCAAGTGAACTTTGTTTACTTATATTGCAGTTATAATTTTCAGTGGTATCAATAGGAAGTTTAAAACGGGAGTGAGCAATCCTGCCACTAGGAAGTACGGAAGCCGCAACACCAGAAGTTGCTGTAGCTAAAGCTATAAATCCCTTGGATCGTACAGTAGCTAGTAAAGCACGCTATAAGAAGCTTTTTCCTGTTCCTCCAGGACCATCAATAAAAAAAGCTCCTGATCCATTTGAAAATATTCTATCAAGGATGGCGTCATATGCTGTTAATTGTTCTTTATTTAGTTTTTTGAATAGCAACAAATCTTCTTCAGTCACAATTATGTTCCGCTCTAAATGGATGTCTCTAGCTTCTTATGTTATTGTGGAAGATGTAGAAGATGTGAAAGTTTTTTTATATGTAGTTTAAATTCTATTTATACTCCGTCCCATTTGAATGTAAGATATCGTTTATATGATTTAGGACCAAATAACGAATGTTGTTTGTCTGTATGTTTGGTATAATTGAGAAATCTTCAGACATGGAGCTTTCAAATCGTTCCCATAAATCTCTTGGATTAGCGGGGTTACAATATACTAATAGCGTTGCAAATAAACGCCTTAGACTGTATGGAATTTGGTAATTAGCGGCTTCAGACATACAATCAATTAAGTTATTATCACAAGCTAGCAATCCTCTTTTTTTTGCGAATTCTCTAAATATGCTGCAATGCTTTCCATTTACAGTTTTGAGATCTTTATATGACTTTGGGCCTCTTATGTTCATCAATAATAGGCGAAGGTAGTATCTTTCCCCTTCTATTGGATGACACGTGACAATACGTCCAATAGCATAACCTTGTTGTCTTGGTGACCACATTTTATCACTTACTGACCATACGAAGTGTTCTGGAAATTCTATGTACAATAACTTAAGCTCTTTGGCACGCTTATTTGTTTCATTCATTGTAAAGAATTCTGTTAACATTATTTTCTTAATTGCAGGATTATTTAAGATTGTGTTTAGACTTGCAGTTGTCTTAAAGGAGACAAATTGTTGATTCACAAGATGTAGTTGAAGATGGTAGACATTGGGAGTCATTTTACTGATAGGAAAGGCAAACAAACGCCACATAGCCTCCGGTGCTGACACCCATCTGCCAGATCTATATTCTCTAATTTCATCAATTTCTATATTGGTATCATTACTATGTACGTTGAAAGCAATTTTATCATGCCCTTTACAAATGCTTGTAGATATATTTAACAACTTTAACATCTGAGCAAATTTCAACATTCATGTGACAGCTAAACTTGCTCAGTAGATATGGATTGTAAGGAACAACCCATGAATTATCAACATATTGGCTTCTAACTTTGACAAATTTTCCAGTATCTCGCCTTCTGTCAATTGGATATGAATTCTTACCTTTAGTTGTTTCGTTGGCATAATCTCTGGGATATTTAAATTTACATTGTCGCATATTTTTCATGCATGGACTTGTAGGATTCAAACTTCCACAAGGACCATGCATCATATGCTTAACAACCAAAGAATGTAAATAACTATTTGTATTACCATCTGGTAGTTCGGCACAAACAACTTTATCATAAGCCTCAAGTGTCAATAATTTATACTCGTCAGCAAGTATAATGAGGAAATGAGCGTGAGGAAGACCTCATTTTTGGAATTCTATGGTGTACATAAAAGCAGCGACTTTTCCAAATATACTCTTTTTAACTATATCTGACTTAAGCTCTTCTACCTTTGCTTTAAATACGCGACTCACTAAATTTGGTATGTTTTGTACTTCATCAGTTGGTAGTAAGAAATCTTCTATCTCTGGCCAAGAAGGATTACATGTCATCGTTAGAAAGATATCAGGTTTTCCAAAGTGTTGTACTAACGCAATGGCATCCATATATCGACGCCGCATATCTCTTGGACCTCCAGTAAAGCTAACAGGAAGGAATGTTTTTCTACCAATATTTGAAGCTTCTCTTTCGCCTAGTCTTAGAAGATCAGTAAGTCCTTCTAATACCTCAATCCGAAATAATTCTTGATTGAATAGGAAAAAGTCTAATCTCTGTGTTTCGAGTTTTATATATCCATCTACAGAATATTGTTGGAATAATCTTCCAGAATGTAAAGTTCCATTTTCTTCATCATCTCTAATTTGAAGTTTGTAGCAGTAATATTCTCGGCAGGAAACAATATTTTTTTTCTTCCTTTCTTTATTCAAGATTTCTTGTTCTATGTTAAGTAGACCATCAATTGAATACATATTAGTTACACTTGGAAGTTTCTCATGTTTGCAGGAAGCACGAGGCGTAGGAGAGCTAGTTTTTTGTTGAACCTTTTGGATGCCGCAATGCCATCCGTTTTCACCGTAGGGAAACAACAAAGGATATTGTAATGGGTCGTAGCAGCCATAGTAATAGTGAACCAGTTGGTTACTGTTACTATGGGTGTAGATACGAATATGGGGTGTAGTCCAATTCTTCGTCAACCCATATAGCTGTGACTTTTGATACACTAGGTAAATTATATGTTCGTTGGTCCAAGGTAGAATCACACTTAAGTGCGATGTAAAAGTTAGATAAATCCGGAATGTCTGTCAAAGATTTCAGAAAGATGGAGTATGGATTAATTTTTAGAATGTTCATCAATTTTGCAATAACCGACCTATCAAGTTTTTCGGAAAAAGCCATCTTGTTAACTATATCCTCATCATTGTCATTAAAATAAAGCTGCAAATTTTTGGCTTTGTTATCTCCGGGGGTGAAGTCATTTATAAAATGGTACATTTGTCCTTGAACTCTAAATGTATAGACACCTTGAGTTCTTTTTGCTAATTCCTTATCGTACTTTACTCCAAGGGAAGTAAATGCGAACATGTTGTTGTATGTTCTAATATAATTACGGAAATGATTGGATTCATCGTTCACGCCAAAGTAGAGGCTTTTTAACTCAGAAGGTAGGCGTTGTGAAACTAACTTTACTGAACCATTACTACAACAGAAGCAAGGAGTTTCATATTGAAATTGTCGAGCTCCGCAGAATTTACAATTTGGAACCCTTTTTAGAACGGAAGGACAACTGGGTAGCTGGTTGATATTCCAGCACCCTACCTGTGTTGAGGTGCGTCCTGCAACATCATAAGTAGTTAAATTTTCATTATATGTTCGTGATGCCGGCGTGTAATATACAGGCAGCACCTCAAAATATGTTAACTATCTGAGGATAGCCTAAAATGCCGGAAGTTAATCGAATATTACAGTTCAATTCAACCAACCATTTCGGGAAGAAGAAGGTATATCTCGGATGAAGGTAGCAGCTTGTCCTGGAATCATCCTTTGAGATTTGGAAGAGGAATGACTTTGATCAGAAGGTTTGGCGGAAGAAATTTCAGAAAGACGGCGTTTTCTCGCAGCATATTCAGTCTGACGTCGCTCTAGAAGTGCTGCCTTTTTTTCAGGAGGCATTTCTCTGTACGCGATACGTCGCCTAAGGTTTCTTTCATTATTTTCGGCACGAAGATATGGATGGCCTGTTGTGTGATCAATTAGGTCTTCATCCACCTTTCTTTTGTTAGAATTTAATCTATTCCCATAGGTACACATATCTACATATTATAACACAAAACACAAGGTAGAAGCAAGTTGTATTGTAGCTGAACAGATAACGTTATAGATCAGAAGTTGCGAAAATTACCTGGTGTAGCAATAGTGTTTTCACTTTCCCCCTAGATCAAAGTTCACTCTCAAGAGCCTAAAAATAAAATTGAATAACCATTATATTCTAGCTGAATCGAGGAAATATATGCGATATGTGGATGCAGCAGAATAGCAGCAATATGCAAAGAGAGACGGGTAAATTTCAGTTTGTCCAATTTTTTATATATTAACCACATGTTATCACAAGCACTTAAGTCTTCACATCAGTAAAACTGTAGTATGAATAAAGCTCGTCCCGTTTTATTATCATACATTTTTTACAATATAGAGGCTAATCTGATGGCAAGTAATAAGAAAAATCAAACCAGAAACCTATCACATAAAGGCTGCATGAGTTATAATCAATTTCCATTTTAGTCATGTACAAAAACTATTGAAAGCAAAGAAGTTAAACAAAACTAAGAAACATCATTTGAAGCAATAATATGTGGCATAAATTTTTTCGGTTTGGTGTAATAAATATACCACCTCTGATCTAACATCACAAAGAATCTCCCTAGGCAACTGGTTTCAGCTAGATGTCTAAGTATAAGAAAAACACAACCCTCTCAAGCTATTTTAATTTATTGTGGTGCATAGATTGGCAAAAGTTGAAGTCCTCTGACACCAGGGTTAAGATATCTTTTCTTCCAGATTCGACAAACTATCCAACAAATGGAAGCAAAAAGAAAAATTAATTTGAAAGGAGCACACAATAGCAAAAAGGAAAAAAAACGATACAAATACAATAATTAAGAAAATTGATAGAAGTTACCTATATGAAGTTTCTAGGACTCTTATATAATCTACATCATAATATTTGTTATTTCTTCTAATATTATAACACAAAACACAAGGTAGGAGCAAGTTGTATTGTAGCTGAAGAGATAACGTTATAGATCAGAAGTTGCGAAAATAATCTGGTGTAGCAATACTGTTTTCACTTTCCCCCTAGATCAAAGTTCACTCTCAAGAGCCTGAAAATAAAATTGAATAACCATTATATTCTAGCTGAATCGAGGAAACATATGCGATAATTTGCGGGAAAAATATGATATATTAGTATTACTTGAGGTAAATATCATGCGGGTATACAACTAAAGGTAAAAGCAGTCAGTATTGTTTTCGGATCGAAAACCCATCTCCTTTTATGTTTCTGTTAGTCTAATTTAAGAACGTGCAAAGCAATTGTCCAATTGCTATCAAGAACTAAGAGAAACCTAAGATCGCATCAAAAAAATGCCTAACTCTCGACCCATACTTTCCTATGGATCAACCCACAGAAATTTATCTAAAAAAACCAAAATAGCAGAAAACTATTCAGTGTAGCATAAATTTCATCAGAAACAGTAAAGATAATAAAATTTTCAGCAGAAAAAGAATTCCCGTTGCCATGCATGTAGGTAATCAACAGAAATAGCCATAAGCTCTAGATGTCCAAAATTTTATTCTGAAACAGGAGACAGAAATATGAAATTTGCAGGTGCTAATCAATATAAATTAACTTCCGACATTCATCTGGAAGAACTCACACATGCAAGACATAAAATGCAGAAAGCATAAAGAAATCAAGAGAAAAAAAAGAAGGAAAAAAAAATAGGAAATCACTTTAGTTGTTATTACTAACAATCCCAATAACAACGAAAAAGCGCAAAAATTGCTCTATGTCGCCTTAAATTAACACATGCATGGTTGGAAAAACATTGGAAACACAAATAATATCCATCTCCCTGCCTTTTTCTAGTGAGAAGAAATTTGAAAAGCTACAAATGAAATCTAAAAAGGAGTTCAAAAGTAAAAAAAAAAAAAAAAAAAAGAAATGCACGAAATGGAGAACCTTGAAACTGAGATAGAGACCCACGAAATGAAACAAACCATGAAAGAAATGCACTGATAGAATATAGAAGAGAAGTAGATGAATGAGAGAGAGAAACCATTGAAACTGAAGTGGGTAGATGAGCGTACCTTTTTTCCAATGAAGAAGATGAAGTGGCTGGACATTAGACAATGGAATGTGTAAAAGAAAGGCAATAAATGGTAAAGCAAAAAGTTGAGCACGTGGAAAACAAAAGGACACATGTGGTCCACTTTCAATGGGTCTTGTATTAACATAATAATAATGAGTCCAGGTTCTAGAAATATCCATGTATGTAAAATTACCAAAACACCCTTGGTCGTCCAAGGAACCTTTGCTTATTATATAGTTAAACTAACAGAAATGAATTAAGTTTTTCTTCTAGTATTAGATTTAGCTCACGTATTACAACTGTACACGTGGATTGCACTTACAAAATTACAGATCCATTTAAGGAAGAAATCTTAAAGTTGTACAGCTAGTAAACTTATATATACAAAGGTCTACCTTTTTACATCGACCCAAAAAGAGAGAGAACCATCTGTAAGAAAACGACAAGGACACAAAAAAAAAAAAAAAAAGAAAGTGATAACGATAATTGCTAAGAATGTAATTTATGCCTCGTGTTCACATACACATAATTTCCTAAGTAAAATATAGAGAGAATATTAGAATATACTGAAAATGGCCTAAATTAAAGTGCTCCTGGAGTATCAAATTTGGTACAATAATGTTTTCTTATCACCTTTTCGAATAAAATGCACATATCGTTTAATTTTTGGCTCAGTCATGCCCCTATTTCTAACAACCTTTCATTTATAAAAACATATGTTTTTTAATCCACGTGTAATATTTTTATTGGCTGAACTTAAAGACCAACACTAATACACTAACCCACCCTATTACCGACCCGCCTCCCTTTGATTAGGAACTACTAACACTAGATCAACCAAATCTAATAACCAAAACAAACACTACTACCGCTACTATCAAAACACTAATTTGCTCGTTCCCTTCACTTTACAACTAATTCCCTTCACTTAACCCCGAACCTATAGGCAATACCAATACTGGGCTGTAGTCAAAGCTGTCTTGAGCTTTTTGAAAGCTCTCCTCACACTCCTCTGTCCACCTGAACGGAGCACCCTTATGGGTCAGCCTGGTCATAAGTGCTGCAATAGATGAGAATCCTTCAACAAATCGACGGTAATACCCCGCCAAACCAAGGAAGTTCCGGATCTCTGTAGCTGGGGACGGTCTGGGCCAACTCTGCACTGCTTCTACCTTCTTCGGATCCACCTTGATCACTTCACTCGACACCACGTGACCCAAAAATGCCACTGAATCTAACCAGAACTCACATTTTGAGAACTTTGCATATAATTTCTTCTCCCTCAAGGTCTGAAGCACAGTCCTTACGTGCTGCTCATGATCCTCCCGACTCCGAAAGTACACCAGAATGTCGTCAATAAAGACAATGATGAGTGAGGCAAGATAGGGTCGAAATACACTGTGCATCAAATGCATAAATGCTGCTGGGGCATTGGTCAGCCCGAATGACATCACAAGGAACTTGTAATGACCATACCAAGTCCTGAAAGCAGTCTTCGGGATATTTGGCTCCCGAATCTTCAACTAATGATAACCTGAACGCAAATCAATCTTGGAAAACACTCGGGCACCCTGTAACTGATCAAATAGGTCATCAATGACTTTGCTCAATTGGCGATAATCAATGCACATGCACATAGAACCATCCTTTTTCTTCACAAACAAGATAGGAGCACCCCAAGGTGATACACTGGGCCGAATGAAGCCCTTATCAAGCAATTCCTGTAACTTTTCCTTCAACTCCTTAGCCTTAGGAGGGGCCATACGATAAGGAGGAATAGAGATGGGCTGAGTGCCCAGCAATAAATCGATATCAAAGTCGATATCTCTGTTGGGCGGCGTGCCTCGAAGATAAGCTGGAAACACATCAGTGAAATCCCTCACTACTGGGACTGACTCAACCGTAGGGGTATCAATACTGACATCTCTCACATAAGCTAGATACGCGTCACACCCCTTCTCAACCATTCGCTGAGCTTTAAGGAATAAAATAACTCTACTAGGAGTGTAATCTAAGGTACCCGTCCACTCTGATCGCGGTAAACCTGGCATAGCCAGCGTCAAGGTCTTGGCGTGACAATCAAGAATAGCATAATGGGGTGACAACCAGTCCATGCCCAAGATAACATCGAAGTCTACCATGCTGAGCAATAATAAATCGGCTCTGGTCTCAAAACCAGTAAGAGTAATCAAACACGACCAATACACACGGTCCACAACAAGAGAATCTCCCACAGGAGTAGACACATAAACAGGGGAACTCAAAGAATCCCGAGATACGCCCAAATGCGGGGCAAAATAAGATGACACATAGAAATAGTTGGAGCCTGGATCGAATAGAAATGATGCATCTCTATGATTGATTGGGAAAATCCCTACAATGATAGAGTCGTAAGCAACTGCCTCTGTACGAGCAGGAAGGGCATAGTATCTGGCCTGGCCTCCCCCTCTAGGGCGACCTATACCTCCCCGACCTCCACCTCGAGCTGGCTGAGCAGGTAGAGTAGCAGCTGGTGCTGGAATCATGGCCTGAGGACCCGGTGGAGCACGTTATGGCTGAGAAGTCTGTGGAGGTGCACCCCTCCTAAGTCTGGGGCAATCCCTCACCATATAGCGAGTGTTGCCACACTCAAAATAAGCTCTTGGAGGGTGTGGCTGCTGTGGCTAGCTCGGGACAGGTCTGCTGGACTGACCACTAAAAGCACCCTTTACAGGAGGCACGCTAGATACTGGAGGTTCATAATAAGGCTCTTGAGGCTTAGAAGGGGCTGAAACACCACTGGCGGCTGGAAGAGCTGAATGAACGGGGCGACTCACACAACCCCTACCATGTCGAACTGCAGTTGGGGCACGAGCACCAAAATAATGGCAAGACTCTCGAGACCTCTCTCTCCTCCCTTTCCCAAGCAAGCACGCCCTCCACTCTCCTAGAAATACTAACAACCTATTGGTACGAGATATCCATCTCTAACTCCCGAGCCATGCTAGTCCTAATGTTGGGATGGAGCCCCTCAATAAACCGATGGACCCTTTATTGAACTGTAGAAACCAAAGCCGATGCATGTCTAGCCAAGTCACTGAAACGAACTGCATACTCTAAGACAGTTATTGAACCTTGGCGCAACTGCTCAAACTACGCGCGCCATGCGTCCCTGAGGCTCTGAGGGACATACTCTCTCAAGAACATGTCTGAGAATCGAGTCCATGTAAGTGAAGCTGCCTCAGCTGGACTGTCCAACTCATAAGCATGCCACCACTGATAGGCTACTCCCCTAAGCTGAAATGCAGTGAAAGAGAACTCACTCGACTCTACTATGCCCATAGTGCGAAGGATACTGTAACGACACAGCCGGTCATTTTTGGAATTTACGCCCCGATCCCCTATTAACTACTTCCCCCAAGTTTGTTTCTGCTATTTTGATTTGCCGGGACGTTCGGTTTTGAGTTCCGGAGAGTTTTGGGACACTTAGTCCCTAAATGAGAGCTTAAGTGTTGGAAAGTTGACCGTAGTCGGAGCAGTGTGAAGACGGCCTCGGAATGGAAATTCGAGGGTTCTGTTAGCTCCGTTAGGTGATTTCGGGATTAGGGGCGTGGTCGGATTGTATTTTGGAGGTTTGTAGCTAATTTAGGCTTGAAATGCCGAAAGGTCGAATTTTGAAGTTTCCGGTTCGATAGTGAGATTTTGATCCCAGGGTCGGAATGGGATTCCGGAAGTTGGAGTAGCTCCATAGTGTTGAATGTGACATGTGTGCAAAATTTCAGGTCAATCGGACGAGGTTTGATAGACTTTTTGATCGAAAGCGTAGTTTTTGAGTATTTTGGAGTTCTTAAGCTTAAATACATGGTTAATTCGAGGTTTCGATGTTGTTTAAGGTGTTTTAAGGATTGGTACAAGTTTGGGTAGTGGTTTGTGACTTGTTGGTGCCTTTGGTTGAGGTCCCGGGGGCCTCGGGGTGAATTCGGATGGTTGACGGAGGAAATTTTAGAGTTTAAGTTGCTGGTGCTGTCATAACCGCACCTGCGGTTTGGGTTCCGCAGGTGCGGCGCCGCAGAAGCGGCTAAGCGGCCGCAGAAGCGGAATTTTGGCCATCCCTTCAGGAACCGCAGATGCGGTATATTTTTCGCAGAAGTGGTACCGCACCTGCGGGTAAAGGGCCGCAGATGCGGATTTTGCCTTTATGTGGGAAATCGCAGATGCGACATTTGTTCCGCAGAAGCGGTACCGCAGATGCGAAAACTGCTGGGCATTATATTTTAAAAGGGGTTTCGCGACTTCGAGGTTTATTTCACCATTTTTATCTCGGCTTGGAAGCTTTTGGGATGATTTGAAGAGGGATTTCAAGGGAACTTCATTGAGGTATGGAATTTGGACCTAAAACTCGTTCCTATGCTATTATTTTACGGATTATAGCTAGAAATTATAGAAATTAAGGGCGAAAAATTGGGGAAACCAGGGCTTAGTCTTGGAGACCTTTGAGTGATAATTTGAGGGACCATTTGAGGTCCGATTTTGGTAATTTTGGTATGCATGAACTCGTGAGAGTGTGAGGATTCCAAAAAATATAAATTTTACCCGATTTCGAAATGTGGGCCTGAGGGGCGTTTTGGTCATTTTACCTAATTTTGCGTGTTAGCTTAGAATTTAATTGTAGAATCAGTTACTTGAGGTATTATTTACATTATGAAATTTAAATTGAATAGATTTTGACCATTCGAAGTTGGATACTCGTGGCAAAGGCGTGGTTTCAGGTTTACTTGCACTTGTTCGAGGTAAGTGGCTTGTCTAACCTTGTGTGGGGGACCTTTTCCCCTTAGGATTGATATTGCGGTAATTGAAATGCCTCGTACATGAGGTGACGAGCGCGTACTTGTGCAAACTGTTGGAAATTCGATTTTTCATTAAAAATAGCCTTAAATTGTGTTCTTCCTTTTCTTGCTTACACTGTTTGGAAACTAAACCTGCTGTAGCCTAGAGAAGCATGTCTACTTGACTAAATTGCTCTATTTGCCTTAACTGCCTTAATTGTATTACGTGAACCATGCTAGGTTAGGATTACCTGCTTCACATTTGATATGAAATTG